CAAGGTGCAAGTTGTCTATTTTACTCTTTAACATTCCTTGCATAGTCACTTTTTATTTACTAAAGCAAAATGTTTTGGAAAGGTATATGTTTAGCAATTTGGCAGAGTATATGCTGATGTTAGCTAGTTTACCGCACAGTAGTGTTGCTGCCGAAAAAAAATTTTCAGAGATGAATCTCATTAAAAATAAATACAGACACAGGCTTAAGGCCATTATGCAGCTCTCAAGAAAAGCGAAAACTCCATATAAAATGACGTACAAGAAATGGCAAAGAAATTTTCTTGTGCCGAATTTCCTTAAGAAAATTGCCACTACGGTTTTCTAAAGTTTTTTTGTGAAAAAAGAACACAAGGAAAACAATGTTCGCAACAGAAGTATATGCCCGCTCCAAAATTTCTTGAGGAAAGAGTGAGGCAGCAGGCTGGTGAAGTATCAGATTTAAAAATTCCTTGGACACACTCGAAATAATGGAAATATTTTCTTGACCGCTTCCTTGAGAGCTTCATACGGGACTTTAATGTCGAAACAATTGAAAGCTTAGACAATGTTCGCAAGAACTCTTATTAACAAAAGATCTAAAATTTAGAAATTAGCAACTAAATATTCCGTTTGCAGAACTCTTATATCCCTGCAGTGAAACCCCACTAGTTCGAAAATTACCAGACTTGTACCAAGTACAATACGATTTATTCATGCCCTGTTTTATTTGGCTTCGACAGTTTAATAGTACAATAGAGTATACAAAATATGCTGCTTTCCAAAACGTCAAAATACAAAACATCAGTCTCTTTTATTTCTAAACCTCAGCAGCTTGTAATGCCAAATGTACGCAACCACAGTTAGATGCTAGTTTTCACCTAGGTTGCGCAAGTTAGACTTTTTCTTCTAGTGCGGTTCGGTAATAAAAGATACTAATGCTTTGTATTTTGACGTTTTTGAATGCACCCTATTACAAATTTTTTTTGGGTATGTTGTAAACCGTTAAAGCGAGTACGTACTCGCAATTATACCATACATGTTAAATAATGATTAATATTCATGGTTATTAATTAAAGCATGTTTTTTTGGATAACCGTTTAATGATTAAATACCGATATTAGCACATTTTTAATGATTAATCATTAATTACTTAAACAATTTTTTTTATTAACTCGTTAATTTTAATTACATCATTATTTTGTTATTTTTGATCATTTACAGTTAATTTGGATTTTTTTTAATTACACTATTAATATAATCAATTGATTAATTTCAATTATCAATCAACAAGCAAAACTATAGACAAAAATTAAGAATATTTAATAACTGCATGAATTATTTATTTATTTGGTTCTTATCCAAATCTCAAATTTTATGCGTTAATTATTACTTTTATAAAGTCTAAAAAACAAAGGACTGAAATGTGCAAAGTTAATGAATTTAATTTAATTGAATTAACACTTTTATTTTTATTTAAGTTTACTCGAAAATGATCATTCGTGATGATAGTTCGAACTAAAGTATTTATTTTATTTTTAATTAAATGTATTTTTATTTCATTTTTTAATATTAATAAAAAAGATTAAAAACATTTTATTTATTGTACCTGAAAGCTTTTACTTTTAATAACATTTAATGAAAAATTCATTTAAATTTATGTTCGAATGTTTGAAATATTTATGTATTTATTTTTGCTTTTAATTTAACACTAATTATTGGCAAATCTAAGGCAAAGTGTACTTAATGAAAAGTTTTTTATTGCATATTCATGAATTCATTTTATTTTATGACTCCCAAAGTAGTGGTTTTGGTCCTTAATTGAATTAGTATTTTTCTGTCTATTTTGAACTAGTATGAGCCTGGTATATTTCGGACCGAAATCTGACAACTGCCATCTCGTAGGATATCCTTATGTTAAAAATACCAGTTGATTGCATGGAAAAAAGATAGTTGGCTGACTAGTTGGGCATGCGGGTCATACTAGTTGTGAGGTAGTTTACAACTAGTACATTTGACTACAGGGATCTTATCAGGAATCGAAGATATAGCACTGGTATGCTAGGTAAAGACTTAACTTAGCAGACCACACGTACTATCTTTTACACATAATGAGCTACGAAATCGGGAATAGGGTACTAATTAGCAATTAAATATTCCATTTGCAGAACTCTGATATATTATCGGGAACCGAAAAGGTTAAGACTTACTTAGCAGCTCACACGTATCTTTTACACATAATTAGCTACTAAATCGGGAATAGGGTACTAATTAGAAACTAATTAGCAACTAAATATGCCGTTTGCAGAACTCTGATATCTTATCGGGCTCCGATTATATAGCAATGGTCTGCTAGCTTAAGGTTTAACTTAGCAGATCACACGTATCTTTTACACGTATTGAGCAACTAAATCGGGAATAGTGTAACTAATAAGCAACTAAATACCCAATAGATTAGAGTTGTGTGTCGCGACCATGGTCTGCTAGCTTAATATATGTATGTACGTCAAACAAAGTCGCTTTCGGATTTATAATATTAATAATGATATAAAAATCCCGTGTCACTGTGTTCGTTTACGCTGATCTCCAAAACCGCTTAACTGATTTCAATGAAATTTTGTGGGTGTATATTGTTGGTTCCAACTTAAAAGATAGGATAGTTTTTTCATCGAGATTTTTTTTACGCTCCTCGCAACGTCCTTATCTTAATATATAAAAATCCCGTGTCACTGTCTTCGTTTACGATAATCTCCGACACCGCTTAACCGATTTCAATGAAATTTTGTAGATGTGCATTTAGGGTTGCCAGAATTTTAATGAGCGATATCAGTACGTTAGACTTTTTTATGCTAAAAAAAGCAGTACTTTTCAGTACATTTTTATTCAAAGCAAAATTATGAATGTAAATATCAGATAATACTTTAAAACGCCAGAGTAGTTGTTTTTAATAATATTTTGGTCAGACATGGCGTAATCACGTAGTGAGAAAATTTCCAAATAAATGCCTTTAGTGGTAATTGAATTTTTTTCCACTATTACTAATGAGTTTAGTGGTAATGTAAAAAATTTTCAATAATTTCAGGCTGCACGGCTCTCATCCACTCATTTGCATATTCGCTGCTTTCAGCTTTAGCTACACTTACGGAACTTCTATGTCACAAGCGCTTCGCATAACATTTATGCTATTGTACATCTTTCGAGGGCGCCCAGGTTTGCCGTTGCGAATAATTCTCAGCCTATCACGTCCAATATGCACCGATGACTACTCCTCAACCGGCGTTTCATAAAAGCTGTCATGATAATCACTGCTGGAGTCTTCACTGCTGTAATTTTCTTGGCAAGTCTGATCACCACCCTTTCCCCTTGCAGCTTAAATCGTTCTGATCGTTTTCATTGTTGTTGATAGGAAGTATTTCATTAACGTTCATTTGTTCTTCACTGCGAACGGACTCGAAAAAAATAACGTCTTGCTTCTCTACATCCATTCGCTGCTCTCCATTGTATAGCCGGTATGATTTTGACGTTAGTGAGTACCCAACCACACATTACGTTTTATCTTTCGGATTAAACTTGCTACGAACTGTCTTGTCTAAAGCAAGAGCATTCGAACCGAAAACCCTTAAAAATTTTACACAAAGCTTTCGACCAGTCGACACTTCATATGGTGAGTGGTTTCTTTAAAACACTGCAGTTGCGACCACTTCGGCCCACAAAAATTCACCCAGTCCACTTCCAAGCAACATGCTCCTCGCAACACCATTCTGTTGTGGCATATAAGACACTGATAGTTGTCTTTTAATACCGTTTTTATACCCGAGCCACATGTGCACAAGGGTATTATAATTTTGTTCACATAACGGTTGTTTGTAACAGCCAAAACGAATCGAGAAAGATATAGACAAATGTATACATAAATGCTCAGAATGAAAAGAGAAGTCGATTAAGCCATGCCTGTCTGTTCGTCCGTCTGTCCGTCCGTCCCTGTACACGAAATTAAGAAATTTTTGGAGCTACGCCCACTTATGATGAAATGCTGTACGAGCCTTGCCTAGGGCCTAGCTAAGAAATCTGTTCAAAATCTTTGAAATCGGGCAATAACCACGCCCACCTACCATATAACGGTAATTTACAGAAACATGAAAACTGCGGTAAATCAGTAACTCCTAAAGCTAATTGTCTCAAAATCGATAATTACAATAACCACTTAGCAGGAAATTCGATTATTAAAAACTTTTGGATAACGGGCGTGGCGCCGCCCCTTATCATCACAAATGTGCATCTCGGTAACCGATTCATCAATCTCTACCAAACTCGGTGCACTCAATAATTTTAGCACAAGAAAGAAATTCTTTGAAATTATTAGTCAAATGGAACTAAAATTACACCCACTTCCCATATAACGGTAAATTTTAGACATCCGAAAACTCCAATATTTCAATAACTGAGGACGCTAATTTACAATACGAGGAGGAGGACGCTATTACAATAAATAAGACTGCTATAGACTTAGGAATTGGGCGTGGCACCGCCCACTTTATGGCTACAAGGTGTATCTCGCTAACCACTTTATAGATTTCTACCAAACTTGGTTCAATTGTTTCAGTAAGTCTAAGTCAGCATATTATCGAAAAAGTTTGAAATCGGGAAACCCCCAGCTTATCATGCAAATGTAGTTTAGAGAAAGTTGAAACGACGATATTCGATACCTGCGCCGGGTATATAAAGTTCGGTTTCGTCCGAACTTATACTTCTTTACTTATTATTTAGAAATTCTGCTTATTTAATTACCACTTCTAAATGCTTTTATTTTCTTTTCCGTTTGCTTTTGTACTAGATTTTTAAATAATAAAAACTTTTCGAACACTTCGTTCTTTGATTTTAAAAAGTACGTACAAATTTTTGGGGATTTATCTATAC